ATGGCCGGAGAAGCAGTGTGTCTGTGCGCGCCCGGGATCCGAACCCGGGCCGCCTGCATCGGAGCACACGCACTTAACGGCTAAGCCACGGGGCCGGCCCCATGAGATTTTTTTAACTTTAAGGAAAATACAAGTGGTATAAGAAAGAAAAGAACGCTTAATACAACTATACTGCCCAGCTCAACGATGCATTACAATTGTATGGTCACCAGAATGTGAACATGGATACCAACGAACCAAACAGGCAATGCAGCCATGCAACACACACACAATATCTAAAACAGATAACTCAAGAAAGAGGGGTAGAAGCCTATTATTTAGAAAATGGGTGTAACTATCAGAAAATCGAAAACAGTGACCTCTGGGGAAAAGAATGAGGAATGACATGGGACAGGGGACTGCTGTTTTTCATGACGGTCCTTTTAGCAGTATTTCACTTATGAAATACTTTGTGAATAAATGATAAAAATTAAAACCACAAATCAAAAACAACGCCGTGTTGGCAAAGCAAGCCAGACAAGAGGTGACATTGGGTCAGAGCCCACCAATGTGCACTTTCCGCTCTGGGGAGCCAGAGGTGGAAGAAGAGCATCCACATTCAGAGGCCCCTGTGGGGCAAGCACAGCCACCAGACCCGGGATAATACAAGGCTGAGAAGAGGCACAGGAAAGATGAGCAAGGTCACAGGGGAAGGTCCGAGAAGGAAGGGGCATGGGAGCTAGGTCCTGGAGGGAAAGTATGGTTTTCAACAAGCATAGGCCAGCAGAAAGGCAGGAAAACGCAATGTGCGTTTTGAAAACGCCAAGTAGAGTAGTTAAATCTGGCTGGACAAAGGGCTGGTCCACGCAGGGGCTGTCAGGACACCAGACTGGGCCTTGGGCAGCATGACCCACAGGAGTATGTAAGGCCAACTAGAGAGGCAGAGGCCTGGAGTGCTGAGGGTGGAGTTCTGAGATTTTGTCACCAGTAAACAGAGATGGATTTACTGTGAAGCTAATGAAGCTGAGCCTTCAAGGCCCCTCCCTGGAGTGAGGCTCTGCTAGGGATCCTACCACTGCGTTCTCATGGTCACACATGAACACCTTTCCTAAGTTTGCCAAAGTCAGCTATTCTAACTGTAGATATAACCGCTGTCTCTTCCCACTATGACCTCCCCTCCATCATATTTTGTGACAGGTGGCACTGGAGTGGGTACTGGCATTTTTGGCTAAAGCAAAATTGAGTGGAGATGAATTTACTTTGGGTTTGATGGGATATATCCATGGGGTTTGCCGTCACATCTGTCTGTAAGTAATTGTTAGTCATCCTGTGTAGGAATGGCTTCCAGAAATGCTGCTACTGTCCACCACACAGACTGACTTGGCAGTGACGTCAAGGGTAGGACCAGAGGAGCGTGTGCAGTGGCAGCCGGCATATGGGATCATGGAAAGAAACAAAGCTTCAACATATGGAGCCAGAGGCTACTCTGTGGAAAATTCTTTCCCATCTTACAACTAATATCTAAAAGAAAATTGACAAGATTCTCAAATTTGATGGCAATCCTAAAAATTTATATGACCCAGCAATGACAAGTTTGAAGCCTAAATAAACTTTCCTAAACTATCAGTAATCAATTTCAGTTAGCTGTGCTACAGGGAAGCCTGAATTTATCTTTCTATTCTTTCCATAGAAAATACTACCAAATCATTGTCGTTAGAAGATGCAAAGAGTATGAAGCCAAAAAATGTCAAAAAAGTATTACAGAAGATTGAGAGGCAGTTAAAGAATTATTTTTCTGCATTTTGTTATATCTGTTAGCATCTTAATATTCATACTGTTGTGATTTTTCTTATTCTAAATAAACAATTTTATATCAAATTTTGAATTTGTAATTTTGTATTTTTCTTAAAAGAGGGCCCCTAAATTATCTAAGCTTCAGGCCCAACAAAACCTGGATCTATCCCTGCAGGACACCTGAAAAAAGCATAGTTTTCTACAATACTTTTGTTCACACGTCACACAAAAGATGATAAACACCTATTTCGATAAATATTGCTATTTGCATTTTCGGTGGTGGTGGGAGTAAGGCTGGAGTCATGCCCTCCTGCAAGGCCCACAGCCAGGAAGGGGCTCCTGCAGTGGGGTGGGTGGTTGGGACTGGAAGCGAATGGATGAGTCCCAGTGGCAGGGCAGGAATGGGTGGTGGAGGGGCGAGGAGGAAGGGAGGGGGAGGAGGAGGGCCTGGTGGAGAGGGCAGCACTTTGGGGCAGGGAGGCCAGGCAGGCTGCTTTTGTGGAGAGCTCTCAGGACGGGGCAAAGGAGAGGTGGCAGGAAATTGTCTAGGGCTGCCCTGACCCTAAGCAATGTCTGAAAAATCAAGGACAATGACATTGATCTCTTGGGAGCTCCCTCTCTCCGCTCCCTCTATCTTTCAGCATATAGGACCCAGGCTCAGGAACTCAGCACAGAGAACTGTCTCAGCAATGTCTGAAAAATCAAGGACAATGACATTGATCTCTTTGGAGCTCCCTCTCTCCGCTCCCTCTATCTTTCAGCATATAGGACCCAGGCTCAGGAACTCAGCACACAGAACTGTCTCAGGAGCAGCTGCGAGTAGCAAACTTAATAAAACAGCAGACCACTGGGTGTTGGTGAGGGGTGGGCATGTTGGGCCACAAGACCTCGGTAACTGTGCCAAACCCCCACTGCCTTAGCTGAGAAGGACTCAGGAAACGATCAGACTACCTTTTCATACCCCTCTGGGCTATCTGGCTAAAGGCCAGATTTTCTCCAGTCAGCACCCCATTACTATGAGAACATTATTAAGACAATTTGCACCCCTTTACACAGGTTACAATGACCTAGTGTGGCTTCTGCTTGTCCCAGCCACAGACCATTCTGGCCACTCTCTCCCTCACTGCCCAGCACGCAGGAAGTATCAGCATAATGCCCAAGAGAGAGCCCAGAGTCCTGACCTCCCTGACCAGACTCCTAATGGCAGAATCCTTATTTCACTCCTCCCTCGCTTTTTTTTAAAAAAACCTTTCTTGTTGGTAAATTGCAAAAACATAAGATATCTCTTAAATAACTTAAAATTTGTAAGACCCTTAGAATTGCGCCTGCCATACTGCAAGTTCTATATAAGCATTTGTTAAATAAAATACAATTTTTGAAAACCCTCTGTTTCTTAGGATCTAAATTTGAAAAACCACAGAAACCCATAACAACTCACCAGGGTTTACATAGTAGTGTCTGAATCCTAAACTGACTTCTCAAAGCCTCCAGGAATAAAAGTTTTACGCTGGAAACTAAAAGTTACTAAATATCCTGACAATGCTCACTCTGGAGAGGAAGTGAGGGGACTTGGAGGGAAGGGGGAGAAGGACAGAAAGTGCTCCCCACACACAGTGGATCTGCTTTCCAGGAAGAATGTGTGCCCTGCAGCTACAGGCTTCATCATTCTAGCAGTAAGGTTTGGGGTTCTCCTTTTCCTACAGGAGGCAAGGTAATGGAGCCAAAGAATAAAGTTTCACAACACTCCTTTTAAGTAATGTAGGGGACCGGCCCCACGGCCTAGCGGTTAAGTTCAGCGTGCTCCACTTTGGTGGCTCAGGTTCAGGTGCCGGGCACAGACCTACACCACTCATCATTCCTTACGGGGTGAGTCTTGGCTCCTTAAAACCACAGACAGAGGGCCCTCCAGCACAAGAATGTGTCCACTCAACGTTGAAGAGTAACTTTTAAAGGGGATTAGAGGATTCACACCAAGGCAAAGCACTATCCACTGTGCCTGTGACAATTCACTTCCAATTTAAGATTGGTTAACACCCTGATTTTAACACGAATAGAAAACTTGTAGAGCATTTTCAGATTGGTAGACCTAAAAAAAAAAATGCTGTTTGGATATAAAACGTCAATCTGCCCACATTGCTCTCTCTCCTGTCCACCTTCATTCCCCAAATCACCAGAACACAATCACTGACCTTCACAAGCAAAGCAGGAGCAAGCAATGTAACCACTCAATCTAGCCCGCCCCGACAGTCCTGAGAACCAACACTCACTCATTCACCCCACTATCATGGACTGTTTACCTACTACGTGCCAGGCTTGCTGAAGATACTGAGGAAAATGTGGGGAACAAAACATGCAAAAGTGAAAGTGGGAAAAGAGAGGAGCTGCACTCCACTTTCAAACTCTAGACTCCGGTTTTCTTTAGCTCTCCTGCTTGATTTTCATCCTTCCAGTCAGTGTTAACAAGTGCCTCCAATCACGGAGTGGAAGCACTTTTAGGCTGTGGGTCAGAGTAACTTTGGATTCACGATGCTTGAGGAAAGACAATAAAACAGCATGCCTGCCAGATCTCCAAGCGGCTGGGGTTTAAACCTGGGGGCAACCACACCCCTGTCCCGGCCACTGGATCAATTCAAAGGTCCTGAAAAACTAACAGCTGCGGCATTCTAGCCTGGGAGGGATTTTTGAAGCCCGAATTGATTTGCATAGTCCGTATATTTTAGCCTGCTCTCTCCAACGCAAAAGTCGTCACCTACAGTTAGCCACTCAACTGCCAAAGGAGAAGGGCTGCGTTCGGCATGCTTCACGGGTGGCTGCCACCGCCACGGGAGAGGGCGAGACGACACGAGAGAAAGAGGCGCTCACCTCCCCCGGCCCCTGGGGTGGAGAAGAGGAGGTCTGTGCAGCAAACCAACACAAAGACTTCTTTCACCGTATCACGCCTCGATCTGCGTATACCAAACGGCCAACGCACGCGGCACGGCCGCGCGGGTCGGCATCCGCATCCGAGGACCACCCCCGGCCCCGGCCCGGCCCGCCACCCCCGCGGCCGCACGCCGTCCTGGGCCTGGCTCCCCGCGAGACCCGCAGGAGCTCCTTTCATCTGACCTGACTTCTGCTCGAACTTTCAGAAGTTCCGAGGGGGCGTGATGCGGCCACAGCGCCAGCCCGGCCTGCGGGGCTGCGTCCCCCGGACCCTGACGGGGCGGGGAGGAGGGCGGTGCGCTCACCTGTCCCGCCCGCAGCGCCAGCTGCACGGCCGCCTCGAAGCACTCCTGCCAGGGGCCCCGGGCGGGCTCCTCCTCGTCCTCGCGGCTCGGCTTCATCGCGGCCTCGCCAGGCCCCGCCACCTCCAGCCCTCCTCGCCGGGCCCCCACCGGCTCCCGCCGCCCCGAAACCAGGCTCCGTACTCCCCCCTCT